TTTAAATGTTTGCCTTAGTCTGTTATTTTTTTTAAGTTGTTTTGTTTTTACCATTTTTTTTAAGTTTTGCTTTATTATTTTTTACGGTTTGCCTTCTATGAGGTTAGTTTCGATTTCATAACCAGAATCATCAATTTCAAAGGTTAGTATAAGTTGACATTTTTTTTTTTAAAAAAAATTGATGTATCTCATTTTCATCTTTCAACATTTGATCTATTGAAAATTGACCTTTGTGCTTTCCCCCCCCTTTCATTTCAAGTGGTTTTTTTTATGTGTTTCTTTTTATAAAATTATCCCGATCTTATATCTATATTCAAAGAGTTTGTAAGTTAATCTAGTTTGATTAGGTTTTATTTTTGCAATTTCACCATTTAATATTGGTTTTTTATACTCCGGATGGGTTTAGGTCCCAATTGATCCAATGACTCGGATCTCTAGCTATTTCGCCTTAAATGTTTTTACATTAAAAAACTATTTGATTGACCCGCGGTGGAGTGTGGACCATAAATCTAGTAAAAAACTAAAAGCCTTAAAAGATTCATTATGGATTATATTCTATTACACTTCAATCAGGTTATTCTATTCTACCTTTTAAAAAGAAAATAACTTGAATCAACATACTTAATGGCATGACAATACATTTATATAAAACTTTTACCCTAAGCACACAATGTAGCTATAGATAGTCAAGTGAAACCCAATAGGTAACATTATTGTGGTAAAGGTTGTAATAGCAGAGGAATCATTACTGCAAAGTAAGAGGGGGAGGTCATAAATGTCTATATTGTAAAATCAATTTTCAATGGAATGGAAAATACATATACGGTAAAATCGTAACCATAGAATACCACCCTAATTGAAATGCATACATTTATCTCATACACTATAGGAATGGTGAGAAGATATATATTTTACATCCTAGAGGGACTATAATTATAGATACTATTAGTTCTCGTATAGAAGTTCCTATAAAAATGAGAAATTCTTTACCTACCTTTAAGTGCGATTTAAACTATTGATTTACATAATTGGGACCAATTATGTTTACAACGAAACCTAGAAATTGATCACTGATCCAATTTGAGTACCTCTACAAGATATACCTCAACAAAAAACTAAAAAGTAAGGGTAGAAAGTGATTGAGTTTAGTAATTCCTCGTATAAAATTATTGACTTTAGAAATATAATACTATAGAGAAGACAAAATTGTTTCAAGCACCAATAGAACCAAAACGCCCATTGTTTCAAAAAGAGAAGGACAAGTTACTCACATTTCATTTGATGGTCAGAGGTGAATTGAAATCAAAGCAGTGAGAATTTTAAAGATTCCTCAAGGGAAAAATAGAGATGTCTCCTACGTTGCCCCTAATATGTGGAAGTATAAGCATAATTTTATAAAGTCATTTGGTCTGAATGCTACATGAAAAACATATGCTAAATGAAGGAACAAAAAGACTTAGGATGTAGAAGTGCACAGCATGAATGATTAAACAAATCTTGATTCCTATATATCCACTCATGTAGTACTTGACTTCAATATATGATATATAAGATCTATCTATATAGATGTCATCATGTACACTTAAAAAGTTGTATGCTTTGGAAGAAGCTTAAACAATTTATGAAGAGATTTTGATTGATCAAAAAGAAGGATCTACGTCAACCAATATGCTCTGGGCATGACTATACATAACATAAAAATCACACTTGAAATGGGTGGACAATTAGATAAAGTTACAAGTGTTGTAGCAAAACTAATAAAAAAAGAGAGGAAATTGGCAACATTAAAATTACTTTCTAGAGAGGTTCGTTTAATATCCAAAAACTACTCAACAATAGTTGGACAAGTAAGGAATACTGGGGTGAACTAGAAAATTTTACATAAAATCGAGCCTAGCTTTTAGTTAACTAAATATCCTATAGTAAAAGGAGAAATTATGAACTATATAGACATCCTAATAGGAGTGGTAAGAATTCGTATTGAAACTTGATGTAGGTAAATAGAGGTACATATTGGAGTTATGAGTTAATGTTGTGTTGGGATTAATATTGATGGTTATAAAGATAAACTAATAATAAAACAACATTGAAATGGAAGAAGTGTATGCGAAAAGTTAAAAGTAGTGATTTTTAGTATTGAAAGATATATGAGTTAGGCAAGGGAAAAAAAGAGGATGGTCGTGATTGACATAAATCATAGAAAATTAAGAAAGAAAGAAAAAATCTATTATGATTAGTGTATGTGGTGTTGGCCGTAAAAAGACTAAAGATATAAGACACTTCAAATAAGTTAAAAAATATGTGTGTTAAAGAATATAGACAAGTTAATAATGAGTTCAAAATAAAATACAAAATCCAATTAAACTTTTGTGTGTGTTTGATAAGAATAATAAATTGGTCATGCTATACATAATGATGTTTGGAATTTTTAATGAATGATGGGATATTAATATGAGTACCTTCTTTGATTATAAGAGAGGTATGGTTGGAGAAAATGCATAGCAGGAGGTACAAGTAGGTGTTTAACACTTTATTCATCTTGTGTATTTTATTTAACGGCTCGATTACCATGCACATCAGCGGCTTCATTAATTTCATTTCGCATGCAAAATGGATGGTAAGATTAATTTTAATCGCATCTATCTTTAATTAGTTTGTTGTTATTTATAAATATATTTTAACTTGAAATATTTTTTCTTACAGGCTATGACTTTTGAACGTATGTCGAGCCTAATATAGCTTTTTATAGAGATGCATATGCAAAATGAAGACCACCAAAAAGGAGTGCAATAGTTCGTCGATAACTATGCTCAACACTTTGTGGTATGTTCGTTCAACCATTTTCTTTTGTAAGTTATTATTTTCTTGAATTGAATTTGATGGTTTTAGTTTTTATTTCCATGAGACATATAACAGCTAGTTGAGGTAGAGATACGTTGACAATCCTTTAACCCACTTGGATTTTGATCCGAATTTGTGGATGGAGGTAAAATTGTTTGTTAAACCCGATAGAAATCAGGGGTACAAACTCTTCAACACTACAGTCAAGAACTTGTGGACAGCTTGTAGTGTTTCAATTATTGGGAGCTCACAATCAGTATCGAGCACCAATCTCAAGAGTTTGCGACCTTGAAAGAACATATGACCTATCTCACCAAAAAATATGAACGACTCTCGGTGGATTATGAAGACCTTTACTGCATGGTTATAGACATGAGATCATAAATGGGTGGTAATGTGTGTACCCCCTCTTTTTGGCCGTATAGTCCTGTGATCGACCAACCTCTTCCTCTTCCTCCTCTTCCAGTGCCGTCATTATTCTATTTTAATTTTACATATAAATTTGTAGTGAATATTTGGATCTTATATTATTCAAATTTATTTTTACATAGAATTAATACAATTTTATTTTTTTAATTATTGTAGACAGATATATTGATGGACACAATTCGTTAGTATATTCCAGAAAATTTGAAACAATTTACTTCATATGCCACCATAAAACTATAACATCTCTAATGGAATAATTTCTTCGGTACTTTATAGAGGGTTGAAATAAAATTATAATAAATACCATTATCAATCATCAACAGAATTATTATGTTGGTATATTAAAGCATGCATTTTTTTTGTGTATATTTTTCATTTGTAAAAGCATCGGTGTTATTTTATTTTTATTGATATAAATGAAATTACCAGTAATTGGTTTAACAATGGACGGTTTCTGTCCATGAATTTGTCAATAAAATTCTTACCGATAGAATGGTAATGTAAATGCTAATAAAAAATTCTATTAATAAAACTATTAAATATGGTAATTTATTGAAAATTTCAGGTTGTGACATTAATATTCAAGGTTGTTACAACTATCTTTAAGCCATCATAGCTCTTTTTTCCATTTTCTAGTTTATCTTCAAAAAGATTTCTTTATGCTCTTCTTCATGGGTGATTTTTCTAATACCAGATCATGCAAGTATTCATCTTCCCTTTATGGGTTTGTCAACTTGCATATTGCCTCTCTTGGGCTACTTCTATCTTTCTTTTAATGCTAGGTTTCTATATTCTTGTTTGCTCCCTTTAGCTTACACCTTTACTTGTTTCTTCTTTGGATGTTCTTCATTCAATTACTCCTGAGATTTCTCTCTTCCATCTACACACAACTCTGATCCTTGAAATGCTTCATTAGATTAAGCTAGATTTGATGTTTAGAAAGGAAAAGCGAGATATTGTGAAAATATATTTCATTCTTATATAATATTACAAACAAGAGGAAGTTTATATAGACTTAGATTAATATTATAATATTTTAATGGATATATTTATACTAGAATAGGGATAATTCTAAATTAACTGATTTTTAAGTCATTGAGTTATTTTTTATAAGGAGTTCCAATAATGTGTTTTTGAGAATTCATCTCACTAAAAAAAATAGATTATGAAAGAAATTTTATAATTCATATAATTTATGTTATACTCTATTTATCTATTTATTACATTTGATTAAGACATGTAGTTAAAATTAAATTATAACATTCTCTATTTAAAATAACTTAATAATTTTAAATTTTAAAAAATCACATAAATTTTTTTATAAACACATCATATAATCTTCCAATATAAAATCCTCATAATTTTAAATTATATAAGAAAAAAGATCTCAAGTAAGAAGATGATCGATTTTTAGATCTCAAATCTATATGAAATACATGAAAAGATCTGAAGTGGTTTCGCCCTCCATTGTTTTAGGATTTGTTGTTCTCATTATTTTTTTATATAGTTGGCAGAGATGATCAATTCATGGTTTTTTTTAAAATTTTGCTTGCTTTCACAATCCTATTAAGTTTTTTTTTTTGCTTAAAAAACAAAGTTACTCATAAGAAAATTCTTGTCTGTATATTAACAAATGTGTCCGCGGGAGGCTAATATACGGGGGGCAGTTCAGGGAAGAACCATGGTCAATACCGAGTGAAGCCACTGACTGCAAGCGACAGTATAGCCTATGTCAAAGGAACTCTGGTCTGTATATCAACACACTGCAGTCAAACATAAATATTCTCTTTGTATCCTGAATGATAATTCTAATAACTTGGATCTAGTTGGGGGCGGCAATTCAGATGCAGCAAAACCCCCATAAGAAGAAAGCTACAAAGATTCGATTTTGTACAAGTTCTGGTAGCCCCCCTTTTAATCTCAAATTGGTTTGACCTAGATCTATTTATTGAATAACATGCATGACCTCCCACCCCAAACACTTCATAACTGCACACTCCAGTGTATTGAAAGGCAGTAGATCTTTATAGTCAAGAAATATGCGACCCATAAATCAGCAGCCAATTGTTCATAAAAAAAAATTGAACAATGGAAGCTTTATTGGATCACCCTAGTACTTCCCGATAATGCTGGCAACATTCTTGCCAATCTCTTCCTTCGTTTGCTCTGAGACAGGAATATCACCTATGTACATGTCAAAGAAAGCTCCTGTAAAGTAAAAATAAAAGTTGAGAATCTTAACTCTAAAACATAAACTATCCTCCATCCCAGCCTCTCTTTAATCATGAACTGCCTCTCAATATCTCTAGAAAATGTTGGCACACAAAATAATCAACTAATAATTTGGAGACAAGGAGCAGGATAATTCACTCACTACATAAATCCTTGCTACAAACCACTCCAATTTGGTTACCTCCAACTGCAAGAATAGAATCTGTCAGTTGCCTATAAAATGTGGCAATATACAAATGCAGCAATATACAAACGAAAAGATATTGTTGGATCATTCATGCGCCTTTACATGGTACAATACAGGAGGGCCTTCTTGCTTTGCTAAAATGGAAAGCCCTTGTACAGATGACAAAATGAGCGGGTCATCTAACTCCAACAATTTCTGTTCTTTTTTTTATTTTTTATTTTTTGATTGACAGGAATAAATTCATTAATGAAAATGATCGAGTTAAAAAAAAGGTGAATGAGATGCCCTTCTGAAAAAACAGAGAACTATAAACTAATATTGCAATGCTTTCCACTCACTTTTGGCAAATGTAAGGAGATGCTGCTAAATAACTCCAACAGCAGTGCATATAGAGTGTAAGATTTCCAACCAATAATGACTTACTTTCAGTTATTAGTTGCCCATCAGCTGTCCGTCGAAAATCAACTGTTGTTCCCTGCACAAATTCAATTCAAAGTTGATGCAATCCAATAAGTATGTGTAGAGGCAAAGCAAAGATATGCACAAACCAGAAAAAAAATTACCGCAGGTAGTGGAATATCTTTTGTGAAGAATGAACCAAACGTAGTCAGGCAATGGTAATCAGTGTCTGGGTTTGTCTGAGAGAAGTCAAGAAAATTGTTTGAGAATCAGAATCCTGACTGGACATTTTCCTTCTATTACAGAACTGGTAGGAAAAGAAACGATAGCAAGTAGAATAAATTACCTTCAATAAACGGTTTCGAAGTGATTTCTCAAAAGCACTACAAGCACATAAAATAAAGCATGTAACTAGGTGTTGGTGCTTATTTTCATCATCAGTCTTACAATTTCAGCCATGACTTCAGGGAATAAAAGGTTAATGAGTCTCCAACAAGCAGGGGCAAAACTATTCCAGGTGAAGCTCAGCCTTGTTAAACAATGTAAATAATCTGTATTCTAGTTTTTTTAAAAAGATCTAGCAGGTTGCGTGATTGAACTTAGGAACACTATTAACACACCCCGTCTCACACACAATCCCCCATGGCCCAGAGGATCCTAAAATTTTATTCGAGACACTAATAGATGACATGATGTTTATATCCTCCCTCTCTAAAAATATTCCAGTTTTTTTTTATAGGTCTACAAACAGTATGCTGAGAATGTCCAGCTTATACCAAGGTCTTGCAGAAATCAGAGGCCCACCACCAAATTTCAAGTACACTAACAAACAAAGTTTGACTTACTCCCTAACAGTACTGATTTTTATCCCATTGCAGTTAATCACAAGCCGAACAGTCATGGAGATGTCTTCCCTGCAGTATCATTATAAAAACTCGAATAAGAACAGTATCTGAGAATTCATCAAAGTGAATTAATCGAGTTGCAGAGCAATGAAAATGAAAAGGTCTGAGTACATGAATGTTAACAAACAACTCATGGCTAAGGCTAGGATGATAATTATGATTTTAAAGCATCACGCAAGTGACAGAAATTTCATTGCAAACTCCTACTATGTTAATTGATTAATGCTCCAAACATACAAAATTTTTTGTTTCATATTACAAAACTAACTTTCAATGGAAATATCATTTACTCTATTACAAACTCCAGGAGAACATACTTAAACTACAAAATTTATTAGATCTTGTATATAACTTCAAAGTTAAGAAAATGAAAGATTAAAACTTGGAATGAAGTGAACAGTTAACAATGAAAATTTTCCTAAAAGTTTCACTCTCTTGATTTAAAAATAAGTTAACAATAAACCATATAAAGATAAACAAAAGATGAATAGCGATGCAACAACATTTTAACTTCAGAAAACCAAACATGGACATTGTGTTCAGCAAAGTCAGTGTTCATATACCTGAGAAGGTCCTCATAAAAGTCACGGTGTTTAATTAATTCACCCATTGGAATGGAAGCATACTTTGGGCCCAGTTTTTCACAGACAGAATTAGGATGAACATCTATAAGAAATAGCAAGTTTCACTAAGTCAATGTCGTGGACATGAAAGAAACAATCTAACAAAAAACAATCCTCAATTGAAATGTAAAAGCACTTACAGAAACCAAAAGCATAAATCTTCAGAGACTTTATTCTGATTATTGTCATAGTTCTGGATCCAGTACCAACAAGAACCTTGTAAAGCACATTGAAATTGTTCACAGTGATTGAAAAATGGGATGATCGATGACAGGAGTGATCTCAAACAGGAAGACAGCAACCCTCAAAGTTAATGTAGGTACCAATTTTCTGATAATATTTCAAGCTTAACAATTAGATAGGGAATAAAATTCAAATAGTAATAAGATGTTTGAATTTGAAGCATCTAATTTCTATTGTTGTCTCAAAACCCTAATGTAAAACAGACTAGAACATACACAGCTTTTAGACACACACACAAACACACATGCAAGTGCACGCAGCAAGCTATTTTTAGCACAAAACAGGTCCCTTGTATCCAGCTATGCCAACACATAATGTGCACACATGAAGTTTAGTGCAATAACATGAAATTTAGAACATCTACCTCTGAAGTTAATCTAGATCTTTCCTCTCCAGCTACGATGTTGTCCAAAAACATTGGGAACTCAATGCCAGTTCTGGGCTCAACAGCATGTCTTGTCCAGTTTAAATCAGAAAATGAGAGGCCTGGACATCCACGATGCACAACTTCACAAGGCCCTTGATCTATGGATGCATGCACTTGTACATCACCATTCTCCAAAGGAATAGCTAGTACATTTGAAGCTCTTACGACCAATAAGAAAGCAAAGTTTAGATGGTTAAAGAACAGCATAAAGTGTGAGAAGTAAAGCTAAAGAACAGAAAGTACACAGAGAGAAACTTATTTTATTATATATCAAATGACTCACAAGTTGTTGAATGGTGGTACCAGAGAAGCAGCTAATGAGAGGACAGGGAATGACTGAAGTCTTTCAGCTTCCCCAAGTAGGAGCCTCATCACAAAACTTGAGATCGTGCTAAAAACTACAGGAGGTGAAGACTCTACTTTTGATACAGAACTGAAGCCTAAACC